GTCACTGAAAATGTATTTTATTTTCAAATGTCTATTTAGGCTACTAAACTAAGTATTTTACTTTTAAGTGCGTATTTAGGCTACTGAACTGAGTATTTTACTTTAAAGAGTGTAGTTAGGTCACTGAAAATGTATTTTATTTTCAAATGTTTATTTAGGCTACTGAACTAAGTATTTTACTTTAAAGTGTGTATTTAGGCTACTGAACTGAATATTTTACTTTAAAGAGTGTAGTTAGGTCACTGAACAATGTATTTTATTTTCAAATGTCTATTTAGGCTACTGAACTAAGTATTTTACTTTTAAGTGTAATATTCAGACTATTATATTAAATATTCTACTCGCAGACTTAGTTGTCATATCAGTGAAAGTAACAATGCCATTACCAAGGTAGTTATTTGTTCATTACATACCTTTAACTACCACAAAACTTTATCTAGACATTTTGAAGGTTATGTTATTGCAGAAACACTGACGAGGTTGAATAAACCACTGAGTTCCGAAGTGAAATTTACCGAATTTCGCCAATCTCAAGCTGTTGTGTAATAATTAATAAATTTTGGCCAAAAGTACTTATATAAACACACAAAAAAAACGCAAAGCTTTTTTTTTACTAAGAAGCATACTAGTTTTAAATTTCTGTCTTTATCTTTTTAATTAAGTCACACCGATGATCTGGGTTCCAAATCAACTGATCGGTTCGCCCGTTGAAAACAACGTCACCTTAGAGTGTCACACCGAGGCGTATCCAGCATCCATCAACTACTGGACAACTGAAAAAGGAGACATGTTAGTCACTGACCATAAATATCGGGTAAAAAATGAACACAAAACATACAAAGTACAGATGAAACTCACTATTTTAAAAATTCAACCAGATGACTTTGGAACGTACAACTGCCACGCCAGAAATTCTTTGGGATCAACAGAGGGCACCATTCGCATTTATGGTATGTTATGTATAACATTTATATTACATTCAAAAGATTTACGATGTAAGACACTTTTTTTATGTGCTAGTTAATGGTACGTTTTCAATATAGTTAAGAAACAGATTATGTTAATGAAAAATAAATGAAAACAATTTCCAATCCTACCCACGATAATTTAGCCTACAAGGATGTGCATCAAAACGAAAAAAGCACATCTTTATCATACGTTCTTTGTAACAAACATGCATTAAAGCACCTTTGTCATCGGAAGCTATACATCAAAGATGATTATAACCCAAAACTTTTGGGGCGTAAGAATATACATCTTGTTACCAAGACCACGTAAGTTTGACAACCCTCATGGTTTTCTTCCATCAAAAGTCCTTTTATAATCATTGGGTTGTGTTGAAATAGGGTAATTAAAAGAGTGGTTAAGCCCATTGAACACTGTTAATTTATCACAAAAAAAGCCCCCCAGTGGAACAGTGGTATGTCTGCGGATTTACAACGCTAGAAACTGGGTTTCGATACCCGTGGTTGGCAGAGCGCAGATAGCCCATTGTGTAGCTTTGTGCTTAATTCCAAACAAACAAACAAACACAAAAAAATGTTGTTATTGTTTTGCGGAATTTCACAGAAAGCCACATTGGGCTATCTGCTGTATCCAACGAACCCTGGATTTCTTGTGATGTAAGTCCGTAAACTTACCGCTAACCCACCGGTAGACGAATGTTAAATTATCACTAAAAAGTTGTTGTTTTGCGGAATTTCACAGAAAGCCACATTGGGCTATCTGCTGTATCCAACGAACTCTGGATTTTTTGTGATGTAAGTCCGTAAACTTACCGCTAACCCACCGGTAGACGAATGTTAATTGATCACTAAAAAGTTGTTGTTTTGTGGAATTTCGTGCAAAGTTACTCGAGGGATATTTGCTCTAGCCGTTCCTAATTTTGAAGTTATGGACTAGAGAAAGACAGCTAGTCAACACCACTGATAGCAAATTTGTTGACTACTCTAGTCAAATAGTGGGATTTGACCATTACTCGCGTAACTCACTCACAGACAATAAATGGAAAGTGAGAAATATTTTTTTGTAGGTAACAGGGCGCGGATCACGAAACCTCGGATGGACAGTCTGGTACGCTAAGTACTAGGCCAAAATAGTAAATTTATTTCGATTAAAAAATACGCATGTATATATATATAATTAAATGAGCAAAACTAGCCCAAAAAATCAAATTAAAGACGCTGCATAAATTAATAGAATCCCCAGGGTACAGACTATAATGTGGGACACAAAATGTGCCTGGGTTTTGGACCTACATTGCGTGGGGATACACAGTCTATCAGTCTTAACCTCCCTTCGCCAGTTTCACATGAAGAAATGCATTAAAAAAAATTATCAAAAGAAATACAAGTTAGGAGAGCGAGATGTGGGTGCTCAACCCACCGAGAGAGGGGGGATAACTCTTCCAGGCAAAAAACCCGTTTTATTTTCCCTTTCAACTTGTAAAACTGTTTGAAATTATATAATATCTAGACTTTGTAGGCTTAAAAACTCTTCAGGACTACTTCTTTTACCTCCCTTTGTGGAAAAGCGGTATGTCTGCGGATTTACAACGCTAGAATCCGTGTTTCGATACCCGTGGTGGGCAGAGCACAGATAGCCCATTGTGTAGCTTTGTGTTCAATTACAAACAAACGTTTAACCCCATCTACGTGGATGTAGCTAAACTGTCTTTATTGTTTTTCAATACACAACCCACCAACTTAGAATGTGAAAAAATATTGAGTTGAAGATTAGTCAAACCTACGAATCGTGTACCTAAATATTACGTCATTTTAAACATCTACGAATCGTGTACCTAAATATTACGTCATTTTAAACATCTACGAATCGTGTAACAAGAACCATATTACATCATAAGCTATGAAAAGTATATATATATATATATATATATACTATAACACTTGTGCATGAGAAACTATTTTTCTTATAAGGCTTAACGTGGCTTTAAGTACATGAATAATAGTTATAAATTTAACTCTAGAGACCCCTTAAAAAGTTAAGACTAGCGCTTTACCTATGTACGAGAAGAAGAAGAAGAAAAGGGTTAAAAATGAGCAAGTGTTATCTTTGTTAAAAGTTCACTTACTGATTAGGAATTATGCGAAAAGACCTTTTGAAAATAGTAACACACGTATATATAGCCTGTACAGCAGGGAAAATGCAGATTGTATGTGTATAATACATAGTAATGTTTTTATATATATATATATACACACACACACACATATATATATATTCATGCATTTAGTTCTTTTTTAACTTGTGTGTGTGTGTGTGTGTGACAAGGGTAAACGCCTATTTACGTGAAGAATTTTGCTGTTACCTATCTAAGGGCGAGTTGCATGTTTAGAGACAGGAAATGTACTTGAATAAAATATGTGATATATACATATATTGAAAACATATACGTTTGACATGGGCACTTTACACGTAGGAAGACTGCGTGATGAGTACATAAATATGTGTAGATGGATTTTAGACGTTTGAAATGTGCACTTTACACGTAGGAAGACTGCGTGATGAGTACATAAATATGTGTAGATGGATTTTAGACGTTTGACTTGTGCACTTTATACGTAGGAAGACTGCGTGATGAGTACATAAATATGTGTAGATGGATTTT